AAGTGTTTGGTATTACTATAAATTTTCACTTCTTCGAACTATGAACATCAAAATTATTTATTTTGTAAAAATATTTCCTTTCTCCTTTCAAACTGTATACCTAACAACAAAATTATCTTCATTTACCTGTGTATAATATTATTGTAAATGGCGGATTTTTGTTTACGGTTATTGTTGTTTTTATGAAATTGTTTAACATTTCACAGCGGTATAATACTGTTACTTTAATTATTCATCCCTTTTTTATTGATTTTGTATTTACATTGTATCATAGATCAAATTTATTCGTTCAGTGTATGTTCACTTGTGTTAATATGTCTTTTGATTGAGTTAAGCCATTTCAATTGATATTTTATAGTGTGTCTTTCTATGTTGTGATGTTACACTATTGTTTCAGATAAGGGTGAAGGTTTGGTACCATTAAAACGTTTAAACCCGCTGCAATTGTTTGCACCTGTCCTTAGTCAGGAATATGATGTTCATTAGTTGTCGTTTGTTGATGTGGTTCATAAGTGTTTCTCGTTTCTCGTTTTTTATATAGATTAGACCGTTGGTTTTCCCGTTTGAATGGTTTTACACTAGTAATTTTTGGAGCCCTTTATAGCTAGCTGTGCGATGTGGGCTAAGGCTCCGTGTTGAAGACTGTACTTTGACCTATAATGGTTTACTTTTATAAATTGTGACTTGGATGGAGAGTTGTCTCATTGGCACTCATACCACATCTTCTTATGTCTAGTTATTTTAAATAGAAAGACTAGTCATTTTAACAAAACAAACTAGTATTTTCAATAAGAAAGACTATCATTTTTCACAAGAAAGACTAGTCATTTTAACAAGAAAGGCTTGTCATTTTAACTAGAAAGACTAGATAATTTACAAACGTACAAGTTAGAATCTCTCTGTTGCAAGGTACGCTAGTACAACTACTAGGTGTTTTTTTTTATTGATTGAATTAAATTCTTGACTTAATGTAAAACAAATCTTGCCGATTGCGTTTACGTACCACATATAATACTTACTCGGAAATAGAGGTGTACAAAAGGATAATAAGGATGAACGACTCAAGTCTTCATAAGGGCTATGACCATAGTGACCTAAACGAATAAAGTTGATTATTAGTGTGTATGTGTCTCAACAAACACACTATGGTCTAGACGAACTGGGTTGATCGTTACAGTGTATGTGTCTCAATAGACTTACCACTATGGTCTAAACGAACTGGGTTGATCGTAACAGTGTTTGTGCCTCAATAAACTTATAACTATGGTCTAAACGAATTCGGTTGATCGTAACAGTGTCTGTGTCTGAATAAACTTCCCACTATGGTCTAAATGAATAGGGTTGATCGTTACCATACATGTCTGTGTCTCAATAAACTTACCACTATTGTGTAAACGAACTGGGTTGATCGTTACCATGTCTGTGTCTCAATAAACATACCACTATGGTATAAACGAACTGGGTTGATCGTTACCATGTCTGTGTCTCAATAAACTTACCACTATGGTGTAAACGAACTGTGTTGATCTTTACATTGTCTGTGTCTCAATAAACTTACCACTATGGTCTATACGAACTAGGTTGGTCGTTTTAGTGTCTGTGTCTCAATAAACTTACCACTATGGCCTAAACGAATTGGGTTGATCGTTACAGTGTTTATGTCTCAATAACCTTATCACTATGGTGTAAACGAACTGGGTTGATCGTTAGAGAGTGTGTGTCTCAATAAACTTACCACTATGGTGTAAACGAATTCGTTGATCGTTACAGTGTCTGTGTCTCCATAAACTTACCACTATAGTCTAAACGAATTGTGTTGATCGTTACAGTATCTGGGTCTCAATAAACTTAAAAACTATGGTCTAAACGAATTCGGTTGATCGTAACAGTGTCTGTGTCTCAATAAACTTACCGCCATGGTCTAAACGAATTGAGTTGATCGTTACAGTGTTTTTGTCTCAATAAACTTACCACTATGGTGTAAACGAACTGGGTTGATCGTTACAGTGTCTGTGTCTCAATAAACCTACCACTGTGGTCTAAACGAACTGGGTTCATCGTTACATTGTCTGTCTCTCAATAAACTTACCGCTATGGTGTAAACGAATTGAGTTGATCTTTACAGTGTCTGTGTCTCAATAAACTTACCACTGAGGTGTAAACGAACTGGGTTGATTGTTACAGTGTCTGTGTCCCAATAAACTTACCACTATGGCCTAAACGAATTGGGTTGATCGTTACAGTGTTTATGTCTCAATAACCTTATCACTATGGTGTAAACGAACTGGGTTGATCGTTAGAGAGTGTGTGTCTCAATAAACTTACCACTATGGTGTAAACGAATTCGTTGATCGTTACAGTGTCTGTGTCTCCATAAACTTACCACTATAGTCTAAACGAATTGTGTTGATCGTTACAGTATCTGGGTCTCAATAAACTTAAAACTATGGTCTAAACGAATTCGGTTGATCGTAACAGTGTCTGTGTCTCAATAAACTTACCGCCATGGTCTAAACGAATTGAGTTGATCGTTACAGTGTCTGAGTCTGAATAAACTTACCGCTATGGTCTAAACGAACTGGGTTGATCGTTACAGTGTCTGTCTCTTAATAAACTTACCACTGTGGTGTAAACGAATTGAGTTGATCGTTACAGTGTCTGTGTCTCAATAAATTTACCACTATGGTCTAAAAAAATTCGATTGATCGTTACAGTATATAATAAAACTTATATACTGCTGCAAACTTTGCAAGTGCAGAATGCTTTCGTTGAGTCATATAAATTATTTCTCGTATTTAGTGTTATAAACTATAATTCTATATACTTCCTACTTTGCGCAGTGTTTTTTTTCTGCAATTATCATGGCGTTGCTGCATTCATGATGCATTTACTTTGAAGCAAAATGGTGTCCTTTTTGATAATAGCTTTGTTCCATTACTGTTATGAACCATAGTTTATTGCTGGACTTCGTAAACTGTAATCCTTTATTCTCCTTAACTCACTTTTTAAGTTTATAGGTAACATTGTCTCTTTTTTTTTTACCTTGATGGAACAATTTTTCATGTTAATCCTTACACCACAATTCATGTGACAAACGGGCCAATTTTCCCTTTCTTTATGGGGATGTTCTGTGTTTGGTTCCTTCGTATGAAGTTTACATGTTCTAGTTGGTTAGATATATATATGCACGTATTTGCACTGACGTCAAACGTAGATCTCTAGACAGCAAGGATCAATATATGGAGCATAAATTGGAAAAAAAAATTTACTAAATCTAATCACAAGAACAGAGATTTATTGTGAAAGTATGCTTTCAACTACAGGAATTTAATCACAAGTAGTATTTAACAACCAGCTTTATAACGGTAGTATTATTTATCAAGCTAGCAAATTTAGTAATTGTTGTTTTTTTTTCATTTTGCTAAAAGACTTAGTCAGAGTGTTATCATTGCGTATACTATTTTTTGGATGAACATTAATTCGCTGAATCACAATTTCTTTTTTTTCTGCAAAGAAGTTTGAAAAAAATAACTCTCTGCATTGTGTCTTCCTGGCGGTTTATGTTTTGTATAAAATATACTCCGAAGCCCATCCACCAATTTAACAGTGTAGTGCAGACCGATTTTTTTCAGCATGTTTAGTACTTTGATCTTGCTATCCGTAGCTACCAGCATTCTTTGATACTCAATATTTATCATTTTTAATTCGTACTTGTGCTTTTATTATCCGTGTAATATCGTTCAAATTCTTATTGTTAATTGTTTATGAATATATTTTTATTCCACTGATAGATATTAAGTTTGAAGGGAGAGTTTTGGCATCTCAAAAAATAAACTGTTGACCAGAGATGTGTCTCGCCTTTATGCAATTTTGATATAACATGTATAATGCATATGTTGGACTTAAAATGCCAATACTTTAACATGTAATTTATGCAATACATTCAGTCAATGAAGTATGACTGAAGGAACAGGGCCAAATAACCTCTGGGAAATGAGAAATATCAATGCTAATACAACTGCATAACAAATACAATTGACTTATAATGAGTAGTTTACTTTAAACTGACCTAAACACAAATTAAACATGTAAACTGTGCAAATATTTCCGAAATGCATAGAAACGATAAGAACAAATAACAACACGTCAAATAAGTAGATTCTACAAAGTGAGCGGTCAAGTATGAAGTGTGCTTCATTTTTCTGATACTTGAAAGAGAGTATGTTTGGTAGAGACAGATATTAAGCCTTACAATAGTCCACAAACCTTAAATTATAGTTACTGCAAGGGTTTTGTAATATGCAGAGAGCACGGCACTCTTCCAACATAAGCCGATTATAATGATTAATCGTGTTTACGCGACTGACGTGTGCATTTATACATCCAAAAACAGCCTAACTGAAAACCCTGGAACAAGATTCTTATTCCTGGATAGGAAAGTTCTTGGTAAATATAGAACATCAACAAAAACACCTGTTATGCTATTTCAATTACCAGGAATAGGGTACCATCATATTGAACTTGATGTGCATGTCTTCTGGTAAAAGTGGTGGTTTTAAAAAAAAAAATACTGACACATTCGGTATTTGACTCCTTACCTTCCTGCAGCAACAATGAATCACGATGTCTTCCGGGAGAAAGTTCCAAATTGCTGTATTAGTGGCATAAATATTTATTAAACACGTATTTTTCCCCTATCAAAGTGGTACAAATATTATGTTCTACCACTACACTTTGTCTTAAATTAATCAGCAAATTACATGGTGCAATGCAGTTTTTCATCGTATGTTTTAATTTTGTCTTATCTGTTTCAATTGCAGATTGTCTCTAATACAGTTCCGTACATTCAAGGCTTCTTTTTCAAGAACACGCTTCAAGTATAAAGAGTATATCGAATGCTGAGTGTTTGTGTACTTATAAAATTTGTCAATATTCCTTGAATGTCGCCTCATTTAACCAAGGAAAAAAGCAGAGGCAGTTTTCGTAAAGTAAAAAACATAGAGCATAATAGATAATTTAATTTAAATAGTTGTTTTTATAGATTCTAGTATAAACAAACCAAAATAACAGGTAAATGGGAAATATTGCCGAAAATTTTGCAAACTGATGACGACAAAGTTTGAACTGACAATTAAATTACTATATTAAGAACAAGAAACTTTTTCACTATGAATCTTTGTAACATCATATGAACTATATATATAGAAAGAGATTTTAACACATAATCTATCCTGTATAGATATAATAATGTTAGTCAGGCTTTTGTAGCCGTCTCATTATTTCATCTTTTAAAGCTTTTCTGTCGAGCTTTCCACTATGAGTTGTTGGAAATGATTCAAAGAACAGAAATGTCTTGGGGACATGTAAGGTTGCAAGAAAACTCTCCGAATATTTCCCCTTTTCTTTCGTTAGAAAGTGTACTAGTTCCTCTCCTGTAACTGTTTTGTTTTTCTTTAACACGATTGCTGCACAACCATGCTGAAATGTCTGTCTATCATGAACAGGACAAATGTAAACGTTCGCCACAGATGCATGAGTCTTCAAAATACCTTCGATATAGGACGGTGATACTAAAGCATCACCTATAACCATTGTATCTGATTTCCGCCCCGTTACCACTACGCTATTGTCTTGTTTGACATATCCTACATCGTCCGTTTTGTACCAACCAGTCTTGTCACAGCACTGTTCAGCCTTTTCTTTGGCATTCAAATAGCCAAGAAATCGGTATCTTAACCGCGCGTAGATTTCTCCAGTTGTGCCTTTTGGGACAATATGTTCCTTTTCATCAACTATTTTAATTTCTGTACCAGGTAATGGGTGTCCAACGTAATAATTTTCGTACTCGTTCGAGTTTACTACAGCGCTACACATAAATCCAATCTCTGTACAACCGTAAGCAACTGCAAATTTGTTAGCCGTTTTCCCGATCACATTTGCACAAAAAGAATCCACAGGAAGTCCTGCAGTACAGATAGCACGAAGGGGAAATACATTGACATTCGTTTCCTTTCTGCTTATTAGGTCCGATATACACGGTGTTAAAAGGAAAGCCGAGACACAAGATTCCGATTCCAAAACACGGAGAGTAAAGTCATTGATCTCCTCTATAGATTTCATTGCATAAATATCAGTTGCTGTAACCCGAGATCCTTTTGTGGCAAGCCATATTGTAGGATAGCTGCCCTGCCAACTGAAAGGTTTATCGTTGTAGAACTTTTCTCCAGGCTTAACGTCAAGAAGTTTCCCCCAGTGTACACCCATTTCTATCATCCTCCTGTGAGTCATTGGTACCGCCTTAGCCATGCCACTACTACCAGAAGTAAGGAAGATACCACATACATCATCGGCAGTAATATATGGCAGGTCAGAACCACTGGGAATTTGTTCATCTCTTAGGTATTCTTCACCGATGAATGAATTCATTGGAAAGACGTATTTCAATGCTGGGATCTTTGTGCTGACAGCCTTGCCATTACTTTCCATTGTTTCTATAAACTGTTTAGAAACCCCAATATCGCTCGAATCTAGGATGATTGCAACACAGTTACCGACTCCATTCAAAAGATTTACCACGTTGTTTGGACTTTCCCTGGCAAAGGCAAAATGTAGTGGCACTAGTCCTGCCATTTGTAGCCCAAAAGTACAAATAAGCCATTCTGGTGTGTTTATATTTGCTACTGCAATTATACTTCCTCTCTCAAATCCATGTGCAATTATTCTTTTAGCGAACAGTTCTGCCTTTGTGTACAGTTGAGAGTATGTAATTGAACAACGGTCATCGTCTGTTGAACAAAATATTACAGCTTCCCTGCCAGGACACTCCTCAGCTAATTCTCTAAGTTTATCGGGTATAGATATGTATGATGTATCCACCGTCTCTGGTATATAAATGTAACTTTTACCTTCCGTCGCCATATTCATGATATTGTGCGTTATATCCGGTCAATTAAACCTATAACCTCCAGGACGAATGTAAACATGTTATGCATGGAAGTATATATATTTCAATGACAATGACCTGTATTTGAATCAGAGCTTATCGTCGATTGTCGATACTAAAAATAGAATTCACTCTTTATTAAACAGAAAATTTTAACAACAGTTTTGGAGGATTTACAAAGAAACTATGAGAGAAAACAAAACACTCCACAGGTGAAGTAACAGTTTTTTACGGATTTATACGTTTTGCCTAAGACTATATCCGTTAGGTGTTGGATATTTTAATGATGTGTCGTTTTTTTAACAATGAAATCCCGCATCATTAATTAAAAGTATCGATAGAAGCGTTTGCAAATATCCTGCCAACAAGGAAAATGCTCCAAACAGATAGTTCTTATTGTATTAGTGTAATAAGTTTCGTAAACGGTTGCGTAGCTACTGAAATTGTTACCATTTTTCATATTTGTTCGATGTTTTTTTTTGTAATTTTAAGAATTGTCATATCATTCTCAAAGATTACTGTCAGTTGTCATGGTTATAAAGCAGCTTTAAAAAAGACCTCCTACATACATCCCATACTGTTTGTTTCAGATTACTAGAGATTTAGATATGGTGAACATGGAATATGATCCCAGTTACTGGATACCAGTCCAGTACCCACGAATTAAGTCCCTTAATCAATCCGAGATGAAAATTATGTAAAGATGCTTAAATTTGTAGTATATCCAAAGAGTATTCATTAAACTTTCAAATTCTGTTAAATTTTAAGTGATTCTGAAATGTATAGGGTGGATGATTATCTGAGTAAATGGTCCAGATTTTATTTTCGATTTTAACCAGGAAGTTAATTTAAAGTCGTTGAAATTTTGCGGTCTAATTAAGTGAATAAAAAATCTGCCCCTCAATTATGATAAAATTGCATTGAAGTAATGGGGGAAATAATTGGGTCCCCGTTCCAAATGTAGTTCCATATAAAGGGTTTAATGTGATCTGATTGAGATCAAAAGTGTTTCATCTCTCGAAAATTCCGCTATTTATAAATTTTCTTTGAATGTTTTTAATATAATAAGTTGTTTCTTGGCCAATGGAATGACATTTTACCATTAAATCCAAAAATATCTTCAGTTTTTTGCAATAATTTTGAGATATATATATATATATACTTTTAACCCTGTTTAAAGATCAATCAGAATTTCTACATGAAAACATACATGGATATATATCATGTATAGGGAACACATTTCAATATTTGTTTTTCCAGTTATGACGTGCAATAAAAATATTTCTTAATAACCATAAAAAAAAATGTATACAGTTTCGGATTTGAAAGTAAAACTCGGATTTGAAATATGTTTTGGACATTTAAAAAAAAAGAGTTTTCCACCGAAATATTAAAATAGAGAAAATTCCAAGTGGTGAAACACTTTTGAACTTTGACAGTAAGCCAGGGCCGGGTTCAGGACTTTTGAAAAAAAAGAGGGGGGGGGGGGTAATTCCCGATAATTGAATATATACCGCCGAGTGGAGCGAGGCGAAATAAATTGGACGAATTTATACTAAAAATTATATTTATTGTGATAAAACATGATATTTTTAAATTAATTAAGCGACCAAAGGGGGCCTACGCCTTACGCCTCCCTGGATCTGCCACTGGTAGCAGTTTTTTAAGGTTACAGGTACATAAATGGGCGACATCATGGATTTTTGTGACAATTAACATGCAACGGGAGCAGGATGAGCTGCACATGAACATCGCACAAATGATGTATGTAGTTGTAATACTTCAAAAGTTTCTTGATATAGCGAATTAAATTACCGAAAAATTTAAGTACAAATTAATATAATACACATCATATAGCAATTTTTTTTCTTAAGAATTTTCACTGTAAATTTAGCAGTATTTCTCGAAATCCTGTCCTACCATTTCTTTTTAAAAAACAATATGTTATTTCTTCTGAAATTTAAGTTTTACTTGTGTAAAAGTTATGAGAGGGTCACCGAATTGTTTTTTTTTTATATAAGTAGACGAACTTTCTGCACAGAGTGAAAAAAGCAACGAAATTAAAAGACAAAAGTAAGCTTGGCGTCGTAACTGTGTGCATTGAAACCTTAATTTTTTACTTTTCTCCAAATATTACATATATACTACACGTCTTGAATGGTTTATACAACAAAAACGAATTCGGTGACCCCTATGAATTTTATCTCGATAGAACAGAAATTGTAGTTGCAATAGCATGGCTTTTTAAAGAAAATTCATAGCCGGTGATGGTTTTGATAAAAGGAAATTTAAAGTAAAATTATTCAGTATTTTTACCAAATTGAATATAAAAATAAGGAGATGTATAGTATGAATGCCAATGAGACAACTATCTATCAGAGTTCAAACAATTATAGGTCACCGTAGGGATTTCAACAACGAGAAAAACACATACCATATAGTCAGCTATAAAAATCCCCGATGTGAAAAAATTGTGAAATGATTCAAACGAAAAAACTATATGACAGACATGAACCAACGACAACTACTGAAATACAGGCTCCTGACTTGAGGTAGGCACATACCGTATTTGACGGGGTTAAACATGTTTGTGAGTGTTCCCCATCCCCTAACCTGCGACAGTGGTATTACAGCAAAACATAAAGACAAACTGTAAAAATCAGTTGCAGATGGCTTCACTCAATAAATCGGTTCGAAACACAAATAAACCACCAACACGCATAAAACAGTAGACACAAAGCACCGGTATAAGAGTACACACAGTAACTGAAAAGTAAAACAACAAAAATACATAACTCTAAGGAAAATTCATAACGGAAAGTCCCTTAACAATTGAAAGCTTGTTCAAAGCCAATTACAACTAATAGTCTATATTAATCATGTTTTCTCGGACTAATCTATCAATAAGTACGGATTTAGTGTAAGGATGTCATAAACAGTGAGAAACGATGCCAAAATAAGTAAACAGTATCGACAGGATGTATGCATATTTACGTTCAGCCTTTACATTTTTACTACTTATATAGGATATCCAATTTGCTTTATCTCGAAAGTATATAAAGTTACTTACATTATTTTTTAGTTTTCATATGCAGCTCCACATGCTCTTATTGCTTGTGAAAAAAAATCTGCGAAGTCGACGAAATCGCCCATAATTTATACGTACCTGCTACCTTAATAAACTTTTACTTTTAGTGAAAAAATAAACAATATAGTTACGATACTGTTGTCAGGTCATTAAGGATGGTATATTTTTGTATTAATATTGATTCACTCATAGGGTCTTTTCATCGGAAATAAACACATTTATTCTAAAACCAGTTGTTGGCATGATACGGGTTATGTTCTTTTCATAAATTTAATGATGGTATGATACTAAACCCCTAACGGGAGGGACTGTGCTTGATTTTTATATGATGAAGACATAATCTTTCAATCAGTTTAATTGAGGTCTGGAGCTGGCATGTCAGTAACTGCTAGTAGTCCTTTGTTAATTAATGTATCATTGTCATTTTGCTTAGTTTCTTTTGTTACCTATTCTGACATCGGACTCGGACTTCTTTTAAACTGAGTTTTACTGTGCGTATTGCTGTGTGTTTCTTTATTCTACACTGGCTTTAGGGGGGGGGGGGTTGAGATCTCACAAAACATGTTTAACCCCGCCGCATTTTTGCGCCTGTCCCAAGTTAGGAGCCTCTGGCCTTTGTTAGTCTTGTATGTTTTTTAATTTTAGTTCCTTTATATGTTTTGGAGTTTAGTATGACGTCCATTTTCACTGAACTAGTACACATTTTTATTTAGGGGCCAGCTGAGGCCCACCTCTGGGTGCGGGATTTTCTCGCTGCATTGAAGACCCATTGGTGGCCTTCGGCTGTTATCTGCTCTTTGGTCGGGTTGTTGTCTCTTTGACATATTCCCCATTTCCATTCTCAATTTTATACTATAACCCCTCAAAATCCACCATTACCTTTGAAGGTCATATTTGAATGTCTAATTCAGATTGCTAAGTAGTTTCAAAGGAGACAGAAGTTTGATTTTAATCTTTATGTTGTAATCGTTGAGTTCTATGCAATCCAATCAACACAAAAAAGAATTCTTGTAACTGGCCCACAACCCCGTAGCGAGCAGGAATCAGACACTGTCTGGCAAATGGAATACTAATATATAAAACTAGAATATGTTATCATTAGAATGTCATTTATTACATATCGAATATTAACATAAAATCAAAATAAAGATATCTAAACTGAAATGAATTAATTTATCTTTACATGGCAGGATTAGCCCAAATGTCGACGTTAAAATTTAACCCAAAAGTTGACTTGATATTGACCCAAACGTATCACATTTTTAGCCAAAATGTTACACCAATTAGCCCAATCCTTCATTGCCGATACCTATAATTACATTTTTGTAATTTCTAGATTATATTATTTTTTAGAAGAATAAAAATCTTATTCAGAGCTATTTCATTTCAGTACTGGTTTTTTCCTTCCGTGCTGGATATTTTCGTACTGTTTCCTTTTTACCAGTACTGTTTCAGAACTGAAAAATCTGTAAAATGTCAATTCTTAATTCATATCGGTACAAATCATGTCAATATATTACAGGGAAAAAAATCAATAGCAGGGAAAAGGGTAAGTTCTTAATAGGTAGTAAAAAATGTTTTATATATTAAGGTTTATGACCCATCTGTAGGCCTGTGTATTACGAAATTTTCAAAGTGCTACAACATCAAAACAGTAAAAATTCAGAATAACTTGATGTGACGTGCCCATTTTGTACATATACCAAAGGGAATCGTTGTTCAAAGCAATACTGTTAAATATTTAAGACATGATAGATTTAGAGAGTTGTTACATAAAATTTCTACACATTTTCTTTTAAAAGTACCAAGATTTTCACATAGTTTTATGTCATTTTGGTAGTTTATTCCAAAGTATTGAGGAGCTATATGTGAATGATTTTTTCATCGAATTTGTATTAGCCCTCACTACAGCTAGATTATTGAATTTATATCGTTGGATTGCTGTTGCATGAAAAAATGCTCGTTGATACCGCGTGAAATGATAACTATTGCGCATAATTAATAAGTTGCAATATTTTCAAATCCGACAATATTGCAAAAACAGATATCCATAAAATATTCTTCGAGAAAAATTAAACAATAAACCAGCAATATCTTCTTTGTTTTACACTGATAAAAAATATTTTAATTCTATAGTTTAGCCGATTGTTATGTTTATATACACTTCTGTATCATCTATTTTCCCTTGATGCATAATAACATGTCAGGTTACAGCTTTTGATATCTTCCAATTACTTGACTACATTCTGGACATACGTGAACAACATCTTTACAACTTTTGATAAAACATGGCGCAATACAACAACCCAGCCAGCAACTGTAAGAAAGAAATGAAACTCCATGAAATACTTGCAATACTTGCAATCTACAAATACATTTTTTTCACAACGTTCTTTTCTTTAAAAGTAAAAAAAGACAACAGTCCAGGTAACACGTTTACGGGTACGCTTTTTATGTTGCCTTTCACGGCCTAAAACGTCTAGAGACAACTTTTCTTTTTGTAAAAAATCGTAAGAATTTAAAAGATTTTCAATGTGATTTCAATTAAAAAATTTCTGTTTTGTTTACTACTAAGGACATTAATAAAAGACGTGTAACAATACCAGTATGAAGTTTTACGTCCGTTACAATGATTTACTTTTCTAAGACCGATCATTCTTTTAAGAGCATTGCTGTTAAATTGAATGGAAACTGTATCTAACGTCTATTGAAACAATTTCATGAATATTCATGACTAGAACATGCATGTTTACAAATGTGATGGGAATTGGTTCTGTTATGTATTATTAACATACAGGCTTATTCTGACACTATCCTTTCTGTTGTTTATATATCATTTTGAAAACTTCATCTTACTTTCATAGATACACTAGCTCTAAAGATTAACCCCACATGAACACCTACATAATTCCATCAGAATATATTGATTTTATTGATTGATTATTTTCTTAACACCAGTGGCAAATATTCCATGCATGTTGGATGATAACAAATTCACAATAAATCTAGTAGGTAACCTCTGCTAAGTCAGTGGTCGACCGGGGAAAACGATTGGAATTTCTACTGCCACTGGAAAATGAGGGTATTTGGTAAGGGTCAAATTTCTTTCCTTGCAAAAGGCCACATAAGGACCCCTTAAGAAATGTTACAAGACTTCTTTAATGTGTAGTGATTGCGGTACTCTCCAAAAGTGTCTGTATGACGCGACTTCAGTGGTATCTATAAAATTGTTATCTCACCAAGATAGATAAGATCATTACCATTCAGTCAATTTGCATGCTAAGAGAGCACCTCCTACGGCATCAGATATATATTTACATCTAACTTCGCTTTCTGGGGTTGAAAATTGACACTTTCTGTTGTGGAATGATTGAACTACAAAACTTGATATAGAACTTTAAAAAAAAGCTATAATTAGTTCTTGCTTGCTTCGTCGCTTGAATTGGGATCAAATTAATATTCAAATCTCTAGAGCTCTTTCGTCTGGCACACAACTCATGCCCAAGAGGGTCGTCCGTTTGGCTGCGAGGGATGTATATACAGGTCCATTTCATGCAAACCAAAGGCTATTTAGAGATTGCTGTGGTATGATTCACAAAGAGACAATGATGTGAACAAATTCTTAAACTCTAAAGACATATTTTATATAATTTAAATAACTTGAAATGAAATGTAAATGTTTATCTATTACAATTTTTAACTTGAACTGAAACCTGTCTTTAAATAAAAAAAACCTCATTGTTTTTATAGGTTTCCGTCAAACTTACCCTGATAGAAAGAAAGCAATACCAATTAACCAAGCGAATTTTCCTGCTTCATATTTTAAAGATGTCATTATATGTAAACAGCAAAATCTACATTTTGTATGTATTGAATACTTCGAAAATACAATTATTTCGCATGGTGGAATTTCCGTGAATGACACTCTTCGATGAACAAATATACCAAAGTCTGAAAATATAGAAATATAGTATGTTTAAAATGTTTGGACTCCGTATACATATTCACTTTACACTTGAGAATATTTGATTCCCTAGAAATTCTCTGACAATTATCTTTTTTCTTACCTTTGCGTTCAACTTCCATGTCAGAAAAATGTTGATATTTCAGTTTGTTACAGTTAAATTAAAATTATTTTCTTAAATATTAACAAACCGAAATAAATAGATCGATAATGAACTGGTTTATGTTATAATCACTTCTAATAAACATTGTCCTATAATTACTAATTGAAATACAAATATTTAAAAATGAAACAACAATATATTAGTATATAAGTAAAAACAACTGGGTTTTTCTCCGCTTCATTACCCAAGTTTTTGATTAAGATAGTGATTTTTTATTTTGTTTCGTAAGATTAGACTATTTTGCTTAAAATTTCAATATCCTTCTTGTTATATCGATAAATTGGAGAGGTATGCATTAAAAAAAAAGCAAGATGCCTTCGAATGATAAAAAAAGATAAGAATTCATTCTACTGTCCTTTTATAAGTGTTCTCATCATTACATTTAATTGAATTTCACGTTCGTCGTTAAACTTTTATAACTCGTGCTGTGTGGATGCAATAGAATGTGTCCCCGTGCCTGTAGTGTATGTCCTTATATTTTTACAGTTAGGGTTTTTTGCTTGTGAGAGAGTTGTCTACATATTCCATTATATTAATGTTCTATTTCTTTTACTGTATTTAATTTCTGTGTCATTTGATCTCTTGTGGAGAGTTGTTTCATTGGCAATCATACCACATCTTCTTTTTTTTATATTCACATTGAAAACCGTATGTTGATATGTTGTTGTCTTTTTTCGTCGTTGTGTTGTTGTCTCTGACATGTACTCTTCACCTCTTTTATTTACATATAAAGTGTTATGGACAATACAGTAGACAAGATAAGGTTATACATAATATTCCCAAAATCAACTTTGAAGTTGGTCGGTTTTGGCTTTCCAAGTGCTGAGCGTTCTTGAGGAAAATATTACTTTCTTTTTTATATATTTCCACCGAGTCAATACAATTACTGAAGGAATCTAGTTGCAAGTTCTCCAGGACCTGCAGTGACTAACTGCACAAATTTTGACCTTGACAGTTTTTACCAATGCTAAGGTTCAACTCAATCATGCAAAATTTATCATTTACAGTTTTGACTCTTTTTATATCCGTGTCAGTTATTAAGCGTATCGTGTACATTGTTAGTCCCGAGGTAAAAACCCATCCATAAGGAAGTGTTTCAACACATCTACCATTATTAATAACATGCATGTTTAAATCTTGTTATGTCAGGCCTTTTATAGCTGAAAATACGGTATGAGTTTTGCACATTGTTGAAAGCTGTACGTCATTTGGACTCTGGTGGATACTTGTCTCATTGACAATCATACCACATCGTTTAATTTTGATAATGTAAAAGATTTGGTGCGCCGCATACCTTGTTCCAACTCACTACTTTCATTTGAAGTGCCTGTATCAATTAAGGACTTTGGCAGTCATTTGCATGATGGTCGCGTGAAAATTTCTCACGAACTTAGACTTAATACTTTATTTAACCTATAGTAGTTTATAGAAATAAGAAGATGTGGTATGAGTTGCAATGAGACAACTCTCCATCCAAGTCACAATGTGTAAAAAAGTAAACAATTATAGGTCAAAGTACGGCCTTCAACACGGAGCCTTGGCTCACACCGAACAGCAAGCTATAAAGGGTCCCAAAATTATGGAACGCCACAGCTGTCTTATGTGGAACTCTGATATTACTGTACGTTGTTTTATTATTACTTGATGATATTTTGTCTTTCCTTAATATGGTTTTGACATTACGTAATGATGTTTCGATATAACTCAATATGGAATAGTCATTACTTAATGATATTTCGATATTACACGATATGGTTTCGTATTGACTTGATATAGTTTTGTCATTACTCAATATGGTTTTGTCATTACTCGATGTGGTTTCACCATTATTTAATGTGGTTGTGTCATTAGTCAATGTGGTTTTAACATTACTTGATGTGAATGTGACTTAACGTTATGTAGTTGTTTCATTACATGATGTGGTTTTGTTATTTCGTAATGATGATTTGCCTATTCTTTATATGGTTTTAACATTACGCAATGATATTTCAAAATTTGACGATTTTACACTACATGATGTGTTTGTTTCATTATTTGATGTGGTCCTGTCATTCTTTGATGTGGTCCTGTCATTCTTTGATGTGGTAATCCCATTACTTGATGAGGTAAAACCACGTGACCAATTCGGAAACAATATGTTCTATTTTTAAACAGATTTCAATATATCGTTTGTTTAATGTGCTTTGGATGGGTATCGCTATCCATTGAGTTAAAGTTAAAATTAAAGTTCATCTTTTCCTTGAATGCAAGCTACCAAATAAAACCAAATCACTGGGTTTGTACTTTCCCGAATAACACGACGGGTGCCTTTCTGGAGCGTCCGAGATCACCCCGATGGATTTATATTACCCAGTCATACCGATCTATTGAATCAGCCAAATGAAACTGTTTTGTATGCCACCGCAACTGAAAGTTGGGGGCATATTGTTTTACCCCTGTCCGTTCGTCCGTCCGTCCGTCCGTCCGTCCGTCCGTCCGTCCGTCTGTCCGTCCGTCTGTCTGTCCGTCCGTCCGTCTGTCCGTCCCATTATGGGTATATAGTTATTCCGCATAACTCCTCCTACAGTTTGAATCCTAGGAAGTTTTCTCTTTACTGTCTGTTTGTACATATATTGAAGGTGTGCATGTGGTCAGGTTTAATGTTTATTAATATTTGCTCTTTTGGGAGAGAGTTGAACTTTGTAATCTTTTGGGAAATTTACTTGCATAAGAAGAGCGTTTCCAGATAACTCCTCCTACATTTTGAATGCTAGGAAGTTTTCACTCTGCTGGCTGTTTGTACATATATTGAAGGTGTGCATGTTGTCAGGGTTTTTTATTTTTATTATCTTTTGCTCTTTAATGAGATAATTGAACTTTTTTGTCATTTTTGGGGTATAAGCGGTTAAATGAGTTGAGTGCGGGGGCATCACTTTGTCTAGTTTACATTTTTTTCTCGTGTTGTGCTGTTACGCCACGTGCACTTTCTTTATGTACATTTACCTGCCCTAAGTCAGCGACTCTTTTCACAAAAAATCTTACGATTAAAATTGATCGTAAGTTATACTGAAATGTGTATGACTTACGAGTATTTTTACTCTTAAGATTTTTTGTGAAAAGAGCCGCTGGAGCATGAAGTTCAATTGTTGTCGTTGTATAAATGTGTGTCATTTTATTTTTTTGTAGATTGTTTATTTATAAATAAGACCGTTTGTTTTTTCGTTTGAATTTTTTCACATGGTGCAAGGTGGCCTTTTGTAGCTGACTATACGGTGTGTTGAAGGCTGTACGGTTGCCTATATATGATATCTTACATCCACTGCATTTAAACTCTGGTGGATAGTTGTCTCATTGTCAATCACACCACATCTAACTTTATTTCAACTTCTATGTTGCGTTGTGTATACTGTAACATTGTTTATCTTTTGTACGCATACCCCGGAGCCCTCTTTTCGGAAGCCCGAGCAAAAGTCCTTGTTCCGCGATAGAAAATTTAATTACGAACTCATATAAGATAGCTCGAATTTCAACTCAAAATCTTAATTAATCTAAATGAGACTTAAATTCGAATCTTACTCAAACTCTACCTCAAAAAGTGACTCAAATTTAATGTTGTAACTAGAACTCTACCTTCAAATATGACTCACACTCGAAGTCCAACTCGAAACTCAATGCTAACTAAAACTTTAATTCTAATAATGACTTGAATTCTAAATCGAAGACTAACTCAAAGTTTAACTCAAACAGTAACCCGAACTTTAATTTGAACTCTAATTCGATGGATGGCAACACTCATCCAAGGCACATACAACATGGAAATCTATCTAAAAATAGAACAGGTTTTTCCGAATTGGTCACGTGATTTTACCTCATCAAGTAATGGGATAACCACATCAAAGAATGACAGGACCACATCAAATAATGAAACAAACACATCATGTAGTGTAAAATCGTCAAATTTTTGAAACATCATTACGTAATGTTAAAACCATATAAAGAATAGGCAAATCATCATTACGAAATAACAAAACCACATCATGTAATGAAACAACTACATAACGTTAAGTCACATTCACATCAAGTAATGTTAAAACCACATTGACTAATGACACAACCACATTAAATAATGGTGAAACCACATCGAGTAATGACAAAACCATATTGAGTAATGACAAAACTATATCAAGTCAATACGAAACCATATCGTGTAATATCGAAATATCATTAAGTAATGACTATTCCATATTGAGTTATATCAAAACATCATTACGTAATGTCAAAACCATATTAAGTAAAGACAAAATATCATGAAGTAATAATAAAACAACATAAAGTAATATCAGAGTTCCACATAAGACAGCTGTGGCGTTCCATACAAAATGACTAGTGTAAAACAATTCAAACAGGAAAACCAACGGTCTACTATTTATAAAAAACGAGAAACGAGAAACACTTATGAACCACATCAACAAACGACAACCACTGAACAACAGGTTTCTGACTAAGGACAGGTGCAAACAAATGCAGCGGGTTTAAACGTTTTAACAGGCGCCAACCTTCACCCTAACCTGAAATAGTAGTGTAACATTACAACATAGAAAGACACACTATAAAATATCAATTGAAATGGCTTAACTCAATCAAAAAGACATATTAACAAAAACAAGCAAACATACACTGAACAAATAAATTGATCTATGACACAATATAAATACAATGTTAAATAAAAAAGGGGGGAGATATAAAACAATGTCAAAAAGACAACTTCTTCTTCTCTTATTTTATTACATATTGATAAATTTGGTAATTCATACAAATTGTAAGGTTTCAGCTAATTGATCTAAGACACCGACCATTCATTTATTGTGTGTGGTGGGTAGGAGGAGGGGGTGGGGGGCATGTTTTTTTTTTTTTTTTTAATGTTTGATTTTTAATTTCGTGTAAAAAAATGTTTCAGGGGAGAAGTGGAAACATTGTTAAGTTGGTGCCAACACGCGTTATGCTATATACTTTGTAAGCCGTTTGGTTATTATATATCTACATGTTTTAGAAACCATATATTTGGCTCTGATT